CCTGGCTGGCCCCGCCCGTTACCTATTTAAGAACTGTCAGCGAACCTCTCTGCATAAGGCTGGTGAGCCACCGTCAGAAGCGGAATGTTTTTTTTTTTTTTTTTTTTCGGTCACCGGCGCCTGACACCGTGATTGACGTTAGATCTACTTCGGGTATGGTTCAGGCCTTGTATGGTTCAGGGATGGGGGGGGGGGGCGCTCACTCGTCCCCCCCCCCTTTCCTGACCTGTCGGGCTGCATGCTCGGATAAAGGTCTGGTAAGGCTAATGGGGGGAACCCCATGCCGTTTTTTTTTAATTCATTTTGGCGTGGAGTTACCCCTTAATATCCATATCAGACCCGAAGGGCTTGGTATGGATAGGAGGGGGACCCCACACTGTTTTTTTTAATTTTAATTGCTGACATTTATTTTTATATTCAGCTGTCAAAATAAATATTATCTAGACCTTCGAAATAAGTAAAATCATTACAGAAATAATTATAAATGATAAGAAACAAAAACAGAATCAATAGAACTTAGGAAATCAAATTAGAATACATAAAGATATGCCTAGCTAAAAATAGTGCTGTTTGTTAAACACAGTAGATGCGATCGAGTGCCGTCTGTCAGTGGACTCCACACAGAGATTTACTATTAAACAGTGTCTAAAAAGAAAGCGCCCACGGCAGACGTCTAAAATGTGTTCTGCACATGCGCATTTATATCCGGCCATAGACACTGGAAAAGCCCACGGAAATGCGCCTAGGCACAATAGTAAATCAGGGTCTCTGTGTCTGAGCAGCGATAGGCAGTATTCAGACAGCTAGATAGGAGCCCTGTGTTTGTAGTTAGATGCTCAGTGTGGCAAGGTTTTATTTTCTGTTTGTATTTATTTTTTTTGCTGTTTTGACTATATGCACCATGTGTTCACCCGACTTGTAAATAAAGCACAATGTTTCACCAAGATCCTGCTGTCGTGCTGAGCTTCTTTCACTGTGTTCTGACCCATCCAGAGGGTTAAGCACAACCCGCTACTGGGCTAATCCCTCACATAATATATATATATATATATATATATATATATATATATTATGTAAAGCACTGCGTAAATTGACAGCACTATATAAGTACCTGTAATAAATAAATAATAAAATAGTGCATTACATCCCAAAAGAAATAGCTTGCTGGGGGAAACACTTAGGGAAAATGGTTTAAAGATAGAAATGCATGTTTGGCATGTTTGGGAGATAAAGTAGATAAATGGAGGTTATGCACTTTTAAAGAATAAAAGGGATTTGTTTTTTGTTTTAGATGAATTGAGATATTGCCAATTGGGACATTTTGTCTCAACGCTCCCTCAGCCGCTAAGGACGTTGGGGACATGCTCCCATTCGAAAAACTGTTGAGCTTAAAGACCGGCTGTGAACATATAATATCTAGGATTTATAAGATCCTGGCTGAACTGGTGGGAGCTCGATCCCCGTCATTGTTGGAACGATGGGAAAGAGAATTGGGTACTGTCACAACTGCTTTCCCCTCTCAGCCCCCTTGCTCTGTCCCTGCTCTCCCAGCTTTTTGAATGGGCCCCTCTCCCCTCCTGCAGAGATGAAAGACAAGCTGGAGCCATGCCAGCTCCGGCCCCCCCTCGGTTGCCTAGGCGACTAGGGGGTCAGACATCAGTTTATGAAGCTGATGCCAGGGCTCCCGAGGTATTCACCGCTGTGTGAGATGGGGAAACAGCTCTCATTGTGAATTAAATGTTTTGAAATGTTTTACTGACATTCTGTGATTTAGCCACAAGATGTCACTGTAGCACAGCTTCAGACTGCATAGATTTTTCTATATTCAGGATGGGATGGGGTTTTACACATGGTAACTCAGTGAACAGGAAGAGAGACTGCAGCCATGTTTTGATGATGGTGAAGGAAACGAGCCATGTGAGCAGAGAATCCGTTGGCATCCAGGTGTGAGAACTGCAGCTAGTGAAGCTGATGGTGTTCAAGACGCTGATCCTGTTCAGAGAAAGGAAGATCGCTGCCAGGGAGGCTGATGAGATTGCATGCTTGTTGGAGAGACATTTGTTCTGTTCTGAGTCACCAGCAGATGCAAAGCAGACGCGGGTCGGTAAGATCGTGCACACACCTCATTTCAGTGTTGGCGCCTCCAGAGACTGAGACAGGCCTATAGTTAGTTAGTTAGGGTCTCTGTTTGTGTCAGGCCACAAGTGTTGTTACTGATCATTGGAAGGACTCCACAACTTAAAGTGACATTTCACATTGGAGAGCTGATAAAATCCCACAAACTCAAGCCAGACTGGCGTTTTGCTCAGAAGGAATACTCAGGCACGTGCTACAGGACCAGTTATGGGAGGGGGAATACTGTGGATTTGTGTAAGATTGTAAGCTGTTGTGCTGCACTGTAGGCTAGCCCAGCAATGGGCAAACTACGGCCCGCGGCCGTATACGGCCTGGCGGACCTTTTAATCCGGCCCGCAGAGCGTGGCAAACATTGGCTGTCAGGATGTAGGCGGGGCAGCGTGACTAACTCCACTCCTCTCACAGTCCGCCCTGAAGACCGGAACGGCGCTGGAACACGGCGAGAGGAACGCGCGGAGCAAAGGTAAGTGAATTGACACAATATGTGGAATGAATTACTATAGGGGGGATGAATTACTATATGGGGGATGAATTAATATGGGGGATGAATTACTATATGGGGGATGAATTACTATAGGGGGGATGAATTACTATAGGGGGGATGAATTACTATAGGGGGAATGAATTAATATGGGGGATGAATTACTATATGGGGGATGAATTACTATATGGGGGATGAATTACTATAGGGGGGATGAATTACTATAGGGGGGATGAATTACTATAGGGGGGATGAATTACTATAGGGGGGATGAATTACTATAGGGGGGAAGAATTACTATAGGGGGGAATAAATTACTATATGGGGGATGAATTACTATGGGGGATGAATTACTATATGGGGGATGAATTACTATAGGGGGGAATGAATTACTATGGGGGATGAATTACTATAGGGGGGATGAATTACTATGGGGGATGAATTACTATGGGGGATGAATTACTATATGGGGGATGAATTACTATGGGGGATGAATTACTATGGGGGATGAATTACTATATGGGGGATGAATTACTATGGGGGATGAATTACTATAGGGGATATGAATTACTATATGGGGGATGAATTACTATGGGGGATGAATTACTATGGGGGATGAATTACTATATGGGGGATTAATTACTATAGGGGGGATGAATTACTTTATGGGGGATGAATTACTATGGGGGATGAATTACTATATGGGGGATGAATTACTATATGGGGGATGAATTACTATGGGGGATGAATTACTATATGGGGGATGAATTACTATGGGAGATGAATTACTATGGGGGATTAATTACTATGCTTACTATGGGGGAATATTACTATACTTACTATGGATGGCATGGTAGTGGCTGGGCCGGCCAGCAGCTAGTCCGGCCCCCGGGTCCAATATATGAACCCACTGCGGGCCTCAAGTCAAAAAGTTTGCCCACCCCTGGGCTAGCCCATACCATACACCCATACACTGATTCCTGCTCTTTTAGGGAAATAACTAGAGATGAGCGAATCGAACTTGGCGAAGTGGAATTCGTTTAGAAGATTAGGAAAAATTTGATTCCGCCGAATCCGAAAATTAGCAGACTTCGGATGCGCGAATCAAAATTTTCCAAAAATGGCGGCGACATGTGTGGCGACGGAGCGGGGATCTCTGGGAAGGCGCGCAGACAAGGCGCGCTGACCCATAATGCATTCATTCATGACATGTGATCGCATTAGCCAATCAGCAGCCAGCCAGCCAGCACTGTGTAATGGTCGAGCTATAAATTGCGGCCATCTTAGAATTCTCCATTAGCCTCCGGTCATTCAAGAGAGGCAGACCTCTCTGTATTAGGGACAGAGTTAGGGCCAAAGAGACTTTAGAGCCACAGAATCGTTACTCAGGGACACAGAATTGTTACTCAGGGACACAGAACTGTTACTCAGGGACACAGAATTGTTACTCAGGGACAGACACAGAATTGTTACTGAGGGACACAGAATTGTTACTGAGGGACACAGAATTGTTACTGAGGGACACAGAATTGTTACTGAGGGACACAGAATTGTTACTCAGGGACACAGAACTGTTACTCAGGGACACAGAATTGTTACTCAGGGACACAGAACTGTTACTCAGGGACACAGAATTGTTACTCAGGGACAGACACAGAATTGTTACTGAGGGACACAGAATTGTTACTGAGGGACACAGAATTGTTACTGAGGGACACAGAATTGTTACTCAGGGACAGACACAGAATTGTTACTGAGGGACACAGAATTGTTACTGAGGGACACAGAATTGTTACTCAGGGACACAGAACTGTTACTCAGGGGACACAGAATTGTTACTCAGGGACACAGAATTGTTACTCAGGGACACAGAATTGTTACTCAGGGACAGACACAGAATTGTTACTGAGGGACACAGAATTGTTACTGAGGGACACAGAATTGTTACTGAGGGACACAGAATTGTTACTCAGGGACACAGAATTGTTACTCAGGGACACAGAATTGTTACTCAGGGACACAGAATTGTTACTCAGGGACACAGAATTGTTACTCAGGGACACAGAATTGTTACTCAGGGACAGACACAGAATTGTTACTCAGGGACACACAGGGACACAGAATTGTTACTGAGGGACACAGAATTGTTACTCAGGGACACAGAATTGTTACTCAGGGACACAGAATTGTTACTCAGGGACACAGAATTGTTACTCAGGGACACAGAAACTGTTACTCAGGGACACAGAATTGTTACTCAGGGACACAGAATTGTTACTCAGGGACACAGAATTGTTACTCAGGGACAGACACAGAATTGTTACTGAGGGACACAGAATTGTTACTGAGGGACACAGAATTGTTACTCAGGGACACAGAATTGTTACTCAGGGACACAGAATTGTTACTGAGGGACACAGAATTGTTACTCAGGGACACAGAATTGTTACTCAGGGACACAGAATTGTTACTCAGGGACACAGAATTGTTACTCAGGGACACAGAATTGTTACTCAGGGACACAGAATTGTTACTGAGGGACACAGAATTGTTACTCAGGGACAGACACAGAATTGTTACTGAGGGACACAGAATTGTTACTCAGGGACACAGAATTGTTACTGAGGGACACAGAATTGTTACTGAGGGACACACAGAATTGTTACTCAGGGACACAGAATTGTTACTCAGGGACACAGAATTGTTACTGAGGGACACAGAATTGTTACTGAGGGACACAGAATTGTTACTCAGGGACACAGAATTGTTACTCAGGGGAATTGTTACAGGGGACACAGAATTGTTACTGAGGGACACAGAATTGTTACTGAGGGACACAGAATTGTTACTCAGGGACAGACACAGAATTGTTACTGAGGGACACAGAATTGTTACTGAGGGACACAGAATTGTTACTCAGGGACACAGAATCGTTACTCAGGGACACAGAATCGTTGAATTAAAGAGTATGTCAGACAACACGCAGAGGAGTGGCAGAGGAGGCAATGTTTCAGGAGCGAGCAGACGTGGCAGCAGAGGGGGGGTCGAGGCAGGCACTAGTCGCAGCCAGAGGCCAGTGCTCCCGGTGTCATCCAGCGGTCGTGTCTCCACCGACAACCCTGCTGTCATCGATTGGTTGGCTCGGTCGTCTTCCTCTTCCCAGGTCACCTCTGACACCTACAGCCAACGGTCGGTGGGTACGTCAGACACAACCGTTAGTTGGCATGGCCCGGGAGCAAGCCCACTGAAAATCACGTGTCCTCTACCTGCCCCTGTCCTTTGGTGTTCCCTCACCAAGCGAAGTATCGCATGCTGTGGGCTCAGCCCCACTGTACAGTGAGGAAGAGCTAACAGAGGGCGGTCAGGAACGGGGGGAGACATCCGCCTCTTCAGCAGCCAGGCGAAGAAGTACTGGCGAGGAGAGTGGCTCGGTAGCCGGTCTAGAGACAGGTCTGTCTCCTGACCCACACGCAGCCGAGGGGGCTAGTAGTGAGGCGGAGACCCTAATTGATGATGATGAGGCTGATCGCACTTGGCAGCCTCGTCGTCATCAGGCTATTGCTTCCGCATCATCAGGAGAAGAGGGTGGCAGCTTGGCAGCGAGCAAAACAGTCGGTGGGTTGCCCAGGAGGCAGCAGGGTCGCAGCAGTGTCAGTGGAGGCAAACGGCCACGGAGTAGAGCACCAGCTCCACTGCAGCCTACCACCACGGCCAGTAGTGGTGCCGGTGTGCACGGAGGAAGTAGCAGTCAGCCAGTGAGGAGTAGCGGGGGCAAAGTTTCCTACTCGGCGGTGTGGCAATTTTTCGTCTGTCAAGCCACCCGAGGAAGTAAACGTAGCCGTATGTCGACTATGTGGCCAGAAAGTCAAGCGTGGCCAGGGGGCCCATGTCTCCATCCATCCACACTCTGCCATGTGCCACTTTCAGGTCTCCTCACACTGCTGGTGGGTTCCATTTTGTCATAGGGTGCTGGCAGATTACGGGCCTCCCATTGCTGCTGCCAGGCCCGTAATCTGTCATGGGCCCCTGTACCGCCTCCTCATGCTGCTGCCAGGGCCAGGCCCGTAATCTGTCATGGGTCCCTGTACGGCCTCCCCATTGCTGCTGTCTCCATCGCCACACTCTGCCATGTGCCACTTTCAGGTCTCCTCACACTGCTGGTGGGTTCCATTTTGTCATAGGGTGCTGGCAGATTACGGGCCTCCCATTGCTGCTGCCAGGCCCGTAATCTGTCATGGGCCCCTGTACCGCCTCCTCATGCTGCTGCCAGGTCCAGAGTGTGTCATGGGTCCCTGTACGGCCTCCCATTGCTGCTGTCTCCATCGCCACACTCTGCCATGTGCCACTTTCAGGTCTCCTCACACTGCTGGTGGGTTCCATTTTGTCATAGGGGTGTGCTGGCAGATTACGGGCCTCCCATTGCTGCTGCCAGGCCCGTAATCTGTCATGGGCCCCTGTATCGCCTCCTCATGCTGCTGCCAGGCCAGTAATCTGTCATGGGTCCCTGTACGGCCTCCCATTGCTGCTGTCTCCATCGCCACACTCTGCCATGTGCCACTTTCAGGTCTCCTCACACTGCTGGTGGGTTCCATTTTGTCATAGGGTGCTGGCAGATTACGGGCCTCCCATTGCTGCTGCCAGGCCCGTAATCTGTCATGGGCCCCTGTACCGCCTCCTCATGCTGCTGCCAGACCCGTAATCTGTCATGGGCCCCTGTACCGCCTCCTCATGCTGCTGCCAGGTCCAGAGTGTGTCATGGGTCCCTGTACGGCCTCCCATTGCTGCTGTCTCCATCGCCACACTCTGCCATGTGCCACTTTCAGGTCTCCTCACACTGCTGGTGGGTTCCATTTTGTCATAGGGTGCTGGCAGATTACGGGCCTCCCATTGCTGCTGCCAGGCCCGTAATCTGTCATGGGCCCCTGTACCGCCTCCTCATGCTGCTGCCAGGCCCGTAATCTGTCATGGGTCCCTGTACGGCCTCCCATTGCTGCTGTCTCCATCGCCACACTCTGCCATGTGCCACTTTCAGGTCTCCTCACACTGCTGGTGGGTTCCATTTTGTCATAGGGTGCTGGCAGATTACGGGGCTGCTGCCAGGCCCCCATTGCTGCTGCCAGGCCCGTAATCTGTCATGGGCCCCTGTACCGCCTCCTCATGCTGCTGCCAGGTCCAGAGTGTGTCATGGGTCCCTGTACGGCCTCCCATTGCTGCTGTCTCCATCGCCACACTCTGCCATGTGCCACTTTCAGGTCTCCTCACACTGCTGGTGGGTTCCATTTTGTCATAGGGTGCTGGCAGATTACGGGCCTCCCATTGCTGCTGCCAGGCCCGTAATCTGTCATGGGCCCCTGTACCGCCTCCTCATGCTGCTGCCAGGTCCAGTAATCTGTCATGGGTCCCTGTACGGCCTCCCATTGCTGCTGTCTCCATCGCCACACTCTGCCATGTGCCACTTTCAGGTCTCCTCACACTGCTGGTGGGTTCCATTTTGTCATAGGGTGCTGGCAGATTACGGGGCCTCCCATTGCTGCTGCCAGGCCCGTAATCTGTCATGGGCCCCTGTACCGCCTCCTCATGCTGCTGCCAGGTCCAGAGTGTGTCATGGGTCCCTGTACGGCCTCCCATTGCTGCTGTCTCCATCGCCACACTCTGCCATGTGCCACTTTCAGGTCTCCTCACACTGCTGGTGGGTTCCATTTTGTCATAGGGTGCTGGCAGATTACGGGCCTCCCATTGCTGCTGCCAGGCCCGTAATCTGTCATGGGCCCCTGTACCGCCTCCTCATGCTGCTGCCAGGCCCGTAATTTGTCATGGGCCCCTGTACCGCCTCCTCATGCTGCTGCCAGGTCCAGAGTGTGTCATGGGTCCCTGTACGGCCTCCCATTGCTGCTGTCTCCATCGCCACACTCTGCCATGTGCCACTTTCAGGTCTCCTCACACTGCTGGTGGGTTCCATTTTGTCATAGGGTGCTGGCAGAGATTACGGGCCTCCCATTGCTGCTTCCAGGCCCGTAATCTGTCATGGGCCCCTGTACCGCCTCCTCATGCTGCTGCCAGGCCCAGTAATCTGTCATGGGTCCCTGTACGGCCTCCCATTGCTGCTGTCTCCATCGCCACACTCTGCCATGTGCCACTTTCAGGTCTCCTCACACTGCTGGTGGGTTCCATATTGTCATAGGGTGCTGGCAGATTACGGGCCTCCCATTGCTGCTGCCAGGCCCGTAATCTGCCATGGGCCCCTGTACCGCCTCCTCATGCTGCTGCCAGGTCCAGAGTGTGTCATGGGTCCCTGTACGGCCTCCCATTGCTGCTGTCTCCATCGCCACACTCTGCCATGTGCCACTTTCAGGTCTCCTCACACTGCTGGTGGGTTCCATTTTGTCATAGGGTGCTGGCAGATTACGGGCCTCCCATTGCTGCTGCCAGGCCCGTAATCTGTCATGGGCCCCTGTACCGCCTCCTCATGCTGCTGCCAGGCCCAGAGTAATCTGTCATGGGTCCCTGTACGGCCTCCCATTGCTGCTGTCTCCATCGCCACACTCTGCCATGTGCCACTTTCAGGTCTCCTCACACTGCTGGTGGGTTCCATTTTGTCATAGGGTGCTGGCAGATTACGGGCCTCCCGGCCCCTGTACCGCCTCCTCATGCTGCTGCCAGGGTCCAGAGTGTAATCTGTCATGGGTCCCTGTACGGCCCTCCCATTGCTGCTGTCTCCATCGCCACACTCTGCCATGTGCCACTTTCAGGTCTCCTCACACTGCTGGTGGGTTCCATTTTGTCATGGCCTAGGGTGCTGGCAGATTACATTGGGGGCCTCCCATTGCTGCTGCCAGGCCCGTAATCTGCCATGGGCCCCTGTACCGCCTCCTCATGCTGCTGCCAGGTCCAGAGTGTGTCATGGGTCCCTGTACGGCCTCCCATTGCTGCTGTCTCCATCGCCACACTCTGCCATGTGCCACTTTCAGGTCTCCTCACACTGCTGGTGGGTTCCATTTTGTCATAGGGTGCTGGCAGATTACGGGCCTCCCATTGCTGCTGCCAGGCCCGTAATCTGTCATGGGCCCCTGTACCGCCTCCTCATGCTGCTGCCAGGCCCTGTAATTTGCCCATGGGCCCCTGTACCTGCCCTCCTCATGCTGCTGCCAGGTCCAGAGTGTGTCATGGGTCCCTGTACGGCCTCCCATTGCTGCTGCCCCTGCTGTCTCCATCGCCACACTCTGCCATGTGCCACTTTCAGGTCTCTCTCACACTGCTGGTGGGTTCCATTTTTGTCATAGGGTGCTGGCAGATTACGGGCCTCCCATTGCTGCTGCCAGGCCCGTAATCTGCCATGGGCCCCTGTACCGCTCTCCTCATGCTGCTTGCCAGGTCCCCAGGTTAATCTCATGGGTCCCTGTACGGCCTCCCCTTGCCTGCATTGCTGCTGTCTCCATCGCCACACTCTGCCATGTGCCACTTTCAGGTCTCCTCACACTGCTGGTGGGTTCCATTTTTTTGTCATAGGGAGCTGGGGTGCTGGCAGATTACGGCGCCCCCATTGCTGCTGCCAGGCCCGTAATCTGCCATGGGCCCCCGTACCGCCTCCTCATGCTGCTGCCAGGTCCAGAGTATTCTCATGGGTCCCTGTACGGGCTCCCATTGCTGCTGTCTCCCATCGCCAGTGCCACCACTCTGCCATGTGCCACTTTCAGGTCTCCTCACACTGCTGGTGCTTTGTTCCATTTGTCACATAGGGTGCTGGCAGATTACGGGCCTCCCATTGCCTGCCAGGAACAGAATCAGGCCCCTCCCATTGCTGCTGCCATACCCGTTAATCATGCCATGGGCCCCCTGTACCGCCTCCTCACACTGCTGCTGCCAGGCTGCCGTAATGCTGTCATGGGGCCCCTGTACGCCTCCTCATGCTGGCTGCCAGGTCCAGAGTCTCTCATGGGTCCCTGTACGGCCTCCCATTGCTGCTGTCTCCATCGCCACACTCTGCCATGTGCCACTTTCAGGTCTCCTCACACTGCTGGGTGGGTTCCATTTTGTCATATGGGGTGCTGCTGGCAGATTACATGGGCCTCCCATTGCTGCTGCCAGGGCCCGTAATATGTCCATGGGCCCCTGTACCGCCTCCTCATGCTGCTGCCAGGTCCAGAGTGTCTCATGTCATGGTCCCTGTACGGCTCTCCCATTGCTGCTGTCTCCATCGCCACACTCTGCCATGTGCCACTTTCAGGTCTTTCACACTGCTGGTGGGTTCCATTTTGTCATAGGGTGCTGGCAGATTACGGGCCTCCCATTGCTGCTGCCATGTCCATGGGCCGCCGTAATCTCGCTGCCATGGCCCCCGTACCGACTCCTCATGCTGCTCCAGGTCTTTTCACAGGCCCGCTAATCTGTCATGGGCCCCTGCCATACCGCCTGCTGCTGCCATGTCCCTTTTGTCATGGGTCCATGAGCCTCCTCATGTCTCCAGTGT